TAACAGATTGAGGCACTAAACGCTAGTAACTGAAGTACTGAAAAGCAATGCTGTCAGTTTAAATAACAAAGTGTACCTGATTCAGGCCATGGTCTTTTCAATCACTTGCTATGCTTCTGAGAGCTGGACAATGAATAAGACAGAGGAAGAATTGATGCCTTTGAGCTGTCGAGATAGAGAATATTCCATAGACTGCCTAAAGAACAAATAGATTAGCAGGGTACAAGAGCAACATTCTCTACAGTGACAAAGAGAATATAGAAAGGAGCTAGGAATAACAATACCAATTACAATAGCTAATCACAAGATGAAATGCTTGAGAGCAAATCTAGCTAGAGACACAAAAGATTTCTATAAAGAAAATTGCAAAACATTACTACAAGAAACAAAGCGAGATCTGGAGAAATGGATAAACATACTAAGCTCATGGATAGGAAGACTGAATATTGCAAAAATAACAATTCTACCAAAGGCAATTTAGAAGTTCAGTGCAATCCCAACACAAAAACCAATTCCATTCTGCAATGAGATGGAAGAGACAATTTCTAATTTTATCTGGAATAATGGAAAGAGACCCCAAATAAGCAAAACATTACCCAAAAAGAGAAACAAGGAAACATCATACGCCTTGATCTGAAGTCATACTACGCAGCTGTGGTGGACAAGACAGCTTAGTACTGATACAGTGACAGACACATAGATCAATGAAATAGCACTGAAAATCCAGAAATCAGCCCATCTGCGCTTGCTACCAGCAGTCAGGAAATAAGGAGACACACTGCATTGGGAAAACCTTCAGTTAGGGACTTCTCCAAATTATTGAGGAGTAATGATGTCAGTTTGAGGACCAAGGTCGGTCTGATTCAGGATATGGTCTTTCTGATTACATACCATGCATCTAAGAGCTGAACAATAAATAAGGATGATATAAAAATAATTGATGCCTCTGAGCTATGGTGTTAGAGAAGAGCACTGAACATTCCATGGACAGCTAAGAATGAACTGATGTCTTGGAGTTGGTGCAGCCGGAATGCTCTTTGGAGGCAGGAATAATGTCCCCTGACATACTTTGGGCATGCTGCTAGAAGGTACTATTTCTGGGGAAGGACATGATGCTGGAAGATTGGAAGGTCATCAAAGGAGAGAAAGACCTTCAACTAGGTGGGCTGACATGGTGACTGTTGCAATGGGCTCTTGTGTACAAGGATGTGTAAGGATTGCACAGGATAGAAGAGGGTTCAGATCTTTTGTTCATAGGGTCTCTGAGTTGTACTTTACTTAATGGCACCTAACAATAACAACTACCACCACTCATGGTCAACTCTTTGACAACAAGATGAAATCAGTTAAATGGGGAAATGCCAGTCTTTTTAACAAATGGTGTTGGCAAAACCATCTATAGAAAACTTAAGCAAGACCCATACATCACATCATACACATAAACCAACTCAAGGTGAATCAAGGACTTAGAAGCAAAACCAAGGACTATAAACCACAGCAGAGAAAATCTAGGAAGAACTCTAGAAGCCCTATTCCATAATATGAACAGTCTTCCAAGCATAATGTACAACAAAGAGAGAATAAAATGGATGAATAGAACATTCTAGGAATCAAAACCCTATGCACATTAAAAAGCTTCTCCAACAAGGTAAAAGAAAATCCACAGACTGAGGGGAAAAAAGTATTTGGCAATGACATATCTGATAAGGGACTCATATCTAAAATTTACAGACTATTCCAGCACCTCAACAAGAAAAAGGTATACAATCCAATTGTAAAATGAGCACAGGATATGAACAGACACTTCAGCAAAGAAGACACTCAGATGGCAAATAAATACATGAAGAAATGTTCAAAATCCCTAGTTACTAAAGAGACACAAATCAAAAGAACTACAAGATTGTCATCCCATTCTAGCAACAATAGCAAAGTTCAACATAAACCAAAAAATTCTGGAGAGGATGTGGAGAAATTGGAACTCTTATTCACTGCTGATAAAAATAGTACAGCCATTATGGAAGGTCGTCTGGCTCTTTCTCAAAATTTGGAAACAGACATACCTTTAGACCGAGCAGTTCCACTACTGGAAATATATGCAAAAGAAACCAGAGGCATGACTCAAAGAGATGTATATACACACATTTTACTGCTGCGTTATTCACAATAGCAAAGAGGTGGAAGCAACTCAAATGTCTAATAACAAACGGATAGAAAAACTATGGTACATTCATTCACACAATGAATGCTATGCAGCACTGAAAAGAACCCAAACTCATAAAATATTGCATAACATGAGGGAGCCTGCAGAACATTATGCTGAGTGAAATATCTCAGTCACAAAAAGACAAATACTGTATAGACTGTTTTTATAAAATAGGACCGATGGGGTGAGGGGGACAGAGAATGGGAAAACAGTGGATAAATAATGAACACTGCACCGGAACAGAAGAGGTGAAGAACTGTTTAAAAGGAATACATGATTAGGCATTATATGTATGGCAACAGTCTGGAATGCGGGTAGCATTGTCAGGTGGGCGGGGGAAGGGGACGAGAGGAAGGGAGGAAAATGTACAACCAAAATAAAAGGGGGGGGAAAAAGATACATAAATTTTTTTTTAAAAAAGTTAACTGGGAGAAGGAAAAAGAGGGGGAGGGAGGAAACAGTTCAACAATGAATATCTAACAATTCTTTAAATTTTCATTAAAAAATCACAATAAAAAAAAAAAGAACAAACAGGTATGTCTTAGAGAAGGTGCAGCCAGAATGCTCCTTAGAGGCAAGGAAGTAAAGCTTCATCTCATATATCCTGGGCATGTTACTAGAAGGGGCTATTCCTTGGAATGCATAAACATGCTAGGATAGATGGAAGGTCCGCAAAGATGACAAAGTGACTGCGGTAAAGGGCTCAAGACTATCAGATGGTAAGGATGGCACAGGACAGGAAAAGGTTCAGATCTGTCGTTCACAAGGTCTCTATGAGTCATCTCGACTCAACAGCACCTAACAACTGAAGGACAGATGAATTGTGAGATGACATGAAGGTCATCATCCGTGAAGAAAACAAAAGGTCATGACAAAACGAGGGAAGAAAGAAAGGACAAAAATGGATGTCAGAAGAGACTAAAACTTGCACTAGAACACAGAAGCCAAATTCAAGGGAAGAAGAGCTCTGGTGGCCTAGTGGTAAGAAGCTGCACTGCAATCCCAGACGTGCGTGGTTCGAATCTACCAGATGCTCTGCTGGAGAAGGAGGGGCAATCTCCTACACCAGTCAGATCCAATTTGACGGAACACACACACACAAAATAGTATCATTTAAAAAAACAAAACAAACCTCACAACTAAATAAAAAACTAAAGGAATAAATGCTGAAGAGGGATTAAAAAAAGATAAAGTATTATAAAAAAATGTGTAAAGAGCTAGAGTTATAAAACCAAAAGAGAATAATAAGCTTGGCACTTCTCAAGGTGAAAGAACTGAAGTACAAATTCAAGCTTTGAGCTGCAATACTGAAGGATTCTATGGACCAAAAAAATCTTTAATGTTGTTCCTGCTGTTAGGAAACACCTAGTCAACTAGGATGAGGTGAATAACAGATGTTGCCCTGTCCTCTACCATCCTAACAATTTCAAATATGCTACAGTTACAGTCATTGTGTGTTTATCAATCCTGTTGGAAGGTCTTTTGCTCTTTTTCTCACCTTCCACCTTTCCCAGCAAGGTATCTCTTCTCAAGAACTGCCCCCTTCTGATAATGCCCAAAGGCTCTACTTTCAGGGTCATTTCTATAGCTTGCTACAAGAGAAGTTTCTCTGATCTTAAACAGCACTAATAATATGCTCAAAGTATGTGAGATGAAGATTCACCATCCTTGCCAAGCACCCTGGTGGCATTTCACCCAAAACATATTTGTTTGACTGCAGCCCATGAGATATTGAGTACTCTTCTCCAATACCACAATTCCAAGGCATTCATTCCTAGGCATTGACTCTTCTGTTATCCTTATTCACTGCTCAGCTTTTAGATGCATAGGGAACAATTACAAACACCATGGCTTGGATGAGGTGTACCTCCGTCTCATAACTTGTTCTGTAACACTTTGGAGAGGTTCTTGTAGAAAGCATCAAAAGAAGATGGAAGGAATACATAGAATCTCTTTACCAAAATGAATTGGAAGATGAATAAAATTAAAATAAGTGCAACAAAATCAAAATATGGCCTTGAGTCTATCTCACTTGAATGTAAAAATCATCTCCAGAAAAGGTCTGAGGCATCGAACACTAATGATTTAGCACCAAATGAGTTGTGGGATGACATAAAAGATCTAATTCGTGAAAAGGAAAAAAGGTCATTACAAAGACAGAGGAGGAAGAAAAACCAGAAATGGATGTCAGAAGAGAATGAAAATTGCTCTAGAGCATCAAGAAGTCAAAACAAAGGGAAGAGATGCCAAAGCATAAAAGCTGAATAGAAGATATCAAGGGCAGTAAGATAATGTGAAGTATTATTAGGGTATGTGCAAAGAGCTGGAGTTGGAAAGTAAAAAGGAAAGGAATTGTTTGGCATTTTTCAAGTCGGAACAATTGAAAAACAAATTAAAGCCTCAAATTGAAATAATGAGAGACATTCGCTTGTCAACCAAAAGTTCAGCAGTTTGAACCTACGATCCAAAATATAGGGAAAGATGAAGCACTGTGCTCCCGTAAGGACTTACTGCCTTGGAAACACTGGGAAATTAGTTCAGTTGCCTTCAGGGTCAACAGAAGTCAGAATTAGTGTGTTGGCAGAGGATTTGATGCTTGACTCTTAGAACACATCATTTTCTTTCTCTCTCTCTCTTTTTTGTTTTCTGTCCTTTTATTTCTACTCCTCTTTCGCATATATACATTACAATTCTAGAACAACTTGGCAGTCATTTCTAAGCAGCTACATATTTATCTTAGTCCCCATTATGTCCATCAAACTACTTTTAAAGCAGAATCATAATTTTTTTAAATTACCACAACAGATAAGGCACTGGTGTGATGGCTTAGTTGTGGCAGAAAAGTCAATCCTGAACGAACTTGGTAATCTCGAAATCCTCCTGCCACAGAGAGTGTGGTTAAATTTATGTGGTGGGCGTTCAGAATCCAATAGTTGTTTACAGTCACATAAAAATCTAGTAGAGGAAAAAAAGAGAAACATTAATATAGTAGTCATTTCTTACAATAATACAGTATCTATAGTGATAGAGATCAAACAAATTTTTTTAATTTTATTTTATTAATTTTAATGAACATTTACAGAGATTTTGGATTTCCATTCATTCGTTGTTGCACTTTTTTCTCTACCCACCCCCCCAAGTTCGCTCCTCTCTTTGAAAAGCAAAAGATAAACCCCTTCACTGGTATACAATCCCCCCACACTCCCCCCAATGCACTCCACTATGCAACCTTAATTCTGGATTCCTGTGATAATCATAATATCCTATCATATATTGCTTTATTATTATTATTATTAATTTCAATGAACATCTACAGAGATTTTGGACTTCCATTCATTCATTGTTGCACTTTTCTCCCCCCCCCCCCC